CAGATTGGGGAAGTTCTCCTTTATTATTTGTTCAGATAAGTTTTTCACTTGTTGCTCTTCCTCTTCCCCTTCTGGTACCCCTATAATTCAGATGTTGGAACATTTAAAGATGTCCTAGAGGTTCCTAAGCCTCTCCTCATTTTTTGGAATTCTTGTTTCTTCATCCTTTTCTGGTTGGGTGTTTCTTCCTTCTGGTCCACTCCATTAATTTGAGTCCCAGTTTTCTTCCCATCACTATTGTTTCCCTGTGCATTTTCCTTCATTTCAATTAGTGTAGCCTTCATTTTTTCATCTAATTTGTGACCAAAATCAACCAGTTCTGTGAGCATCCTGATAACCAGTGTTTTGAACTGTGCATCTGATAGGTTGGCTATCTCTTGGTCTGTTATAATTATTGGCTCTGGGGCTTTGAGCTGTTCTTGAGCCATAATGTATTGGTCTGTTGGCGCCTGTTATGTATGAGCGGAGGAGCCTTAAGTGTTCACCAGGGCAGGCAACCCATGTTGCTGTATGTGGGGGCGGGGTCAGAGAGAGAGCAGTGGTGCTTGTTCCTCTCTCTCGGATTTCAGTCCCCTCTGCTGCTTCCCACAAGCAAATTGGGCCCTTCTGGTACTGGTTCCCAGGTGGGTGGGCTTGTGTATGTTCAAGGACCCTGTGGTTCTCTCCAACGAACTCTCCTATAAGGCTGGGAGCCTCTCCCAGCCCCTCAACCCCTGAAAGTTTTTCCAGTCGGTGCTTTTAGGCTTTATTCCCTGGCACTGTGGCCCTGGGTTGTATGGTCTGTCTCACTGCCCATTTTTTGCCTGGTTTATCTGCAGGCGAATGTGTGTCAGTTGTCAGCCAATTGCCTTGCTCACCCCACTGGGTTTGCTTGTTTCCTCCCCACACCTGGTTCTGCCAACCACCATCTCTTCCTGCCGAGACCCCTCTCCACAGGCTGCTGACTCTACCCCTCTTACCAGTCTGGATGAATGGTTCGTTGTTGTCTGACTTCAGTACAGTTCAGTTTTCTGTCTATTCCGGTTGTGGTTTTGTTTCTAAATCTTTGTTGTCCTTAAATTTGGTTGTGCGAGGAGGTACAGTATTTCCACCTATGCCTCCATCTTGGCCAGAAGTGACATTCTGCCATTCTTATCTAGTATTCACCCTGTCCCCTCTCAATGATTCAACATCCTTGTCAGGAGGATGTCTAGCCTCTGCTTAAAAACTTCCAGTGACAGGGACACACTATGTCTCCTGAGACACACTCTAGTCTGTCTACTTTGTCATAGTTTTGCCTATGTAGGAATTCTCAGAACCTAATGAACAAAATAAACAGATGAAGAAAATAGAACCAGAGACATTGAAATAAAGGACAAACTGATAGTGAAAGGGGGAGGGGGGAGGGGGATAATGGGGAAAAGAAGGGGAAGGGTCATCAAGGAACATGAATAGAGTTCATGGGCACAGACAATGGGGGGACTGACTGTGGGAGTGGGGGACAGACGAGGCAGGAGAGAGCAAGGAGGAAAAGGTGGGACAACTGTAACTGAATGACAATAAAAAAATTTTTTTAAAGAATACTCAACTTAGCATAACAGTTCAGATGATTCAGTTAGATGATACATTTATTCTCTTTCACTGGCGTTTGTAGCACACATGTTTGTTAAAGGTGTCTCTGTCTCTCTCCATTCATTCACTTCCTCAATTCATTCTTTCAACCAACCATCCCTTTATTTAACAAACATTTGTTACATGTTCATTTCATTCCAAGAACACTTCAAACACTGGAAGGGATGCAATAATGAGTAAAAAATGGTCTCTGTGTGTTTTCATTCAAAACCAGAGGTCCAGAGCTTATTTCTCTAGATCAGGGGTGTCATACACATTTTCACCAGGGGGCCACATCAACTTCGCGGTTGCCTTCAAAGGGTCAAATGTAACTTTAGAACTCTATAAATGTAACTACTCCTTAACTAGGGGCAAGGAGCTCAGTGCTGCTGCTGGTAGAAACAAGGTGCTGGGCTGGATTTGGCCTGTGGGCCTTGTGTTTGGCACCTGTGCTCTAAAATCCCCTTTAGGTTGGCAATCAGGTGTCGACTGAGGTAGGGATACTAGGTCATCTCTTTTCCATTTCCTTTCCCGCAACTTATCTTTCCCCTCTTTTCTAAAATGAAAACAGCTGCCTATTGACATTTTCTGGTCATATGCCCCTTCATTGTTATTTCTATAATTCAATACCAAAGAGTGCCTCCCTCGCTCCTAATGAACTCCTCCTGCCTCCTTGGAGCCTACACCCCTTTTCTATTCTTTTCCCTCTACTTCCACACAGAGAAAAAATGTATGGCCTGATTGGGAGTCTTTCCCTTTTTTATTACAGTGGTGTTTTCTTTGTAAATCCCATCCCGTAGTGTGGTGCTTGTGGCCTTGTCAGGACATATCAAACCCGTGTCGAGTGCCTCACTAGAGTAACACTGGCCCTACTCATGGGGAAGTGCCAGCTTCCTATTGGTTGAAAGAGCTCTCATTTACCTCACAAGCCCCCAGGAGTTGTGGCTGCAAGCACAACATAGGAAATACCGTCACTAATACTGTAATAACTATACAATGGTGCCAGATGGGTACTAGACTTATCAGGGGCATCACTTCATAAATTTTTCTGTAAATGTGTAACCACTTTGATATACATGTGAAAATGATATGAAATAATACTGAATGCCAGCTGTCATTGAAAAAGAAAAACACAGTGACCAGAGGGGAGAAGGAAGGGAAGTTAAGGGGAAAAAGGGGGAGGGATCTGGAGGAACAAATAGGAAGGACACAGGGACGAGAACTAAGGGGGGTGGAAATGGGAGGGAGGTGGGGAGCAAGGGGCGGGGAAGGCTGGGAAGGGAAAAATAGACAAAAAACTGTACTTGAAAAATAACTAAATAAAATTAATTAAAATAAAAAATAAAATAAATAAAAAAACATTAAAAGCTACATTTTTGCCTAAAAAAAAAAAAGAAAAAAAAACAAAGTTGTGGCTGTTTATCAGACTTGTAGATAGCTAAGCATAGATAATGTAGGTAAAGTTTTGGTTTTTAAATAAAGGTGTGATGTGCATTAAACTGTGCACTGATTTAAACTGTGACACAGCTGATTTTCATCCTTTCCCCAGAGATCTTTGGAGGCAATGTCTCTTCCTTGTAGTCCAACATATACATGTCTGTCAGCCACTTTGCCTCTCCAAGTCCTGTCAGTTCTTCATGGCAGGCATGACCACTGCCAGGAAACTTTCACTGCCCACCCTAGCCCTGGGCACTCACTGCCTTGGTGATTCTATTGGTGAGTGATATACAATCACACATGCAATGCAAGTTAGCATTCTTCATTCTGCAGCCTTATTCGCTATCTCATGTATAGAGAATCTCACATGTGTGGCTTTCCTGTTGGGTATTTAGATTTGGATGAGCTTTTATAGACTTTTTGGTGTGGATTTTTAAGTGAGCTGCTACCTAAGATATTTGCTTCCCCTGTTCAGTCAGTTGGAAAAATAGCAGATGTCTATATGATGTGATGGAGGAACACCAGAAGGTTGTCTTTTTTTAAAAGATTTTATTTATTTGTTTTTTAGAGTGGAGAAGGAAGAGAGGGAGACAAACGCCGATGTCTGGTTGCCTCTCACACGCCCCAACTGGGGACCTGGCCCATAACCCAGGCATGTGCCTTGACTTGGGATTGAACCAGGGACCCTTTGGTTTACAGGCCAGCACTCAACTACCACACCACACCAGCCAGGGCAGGAGGAACTATGTTAAGGCACAAACTGTTTCCCACTAGCCCTTCTTGGTGCCTGAGTACTCAGTGAGACTTTGATTGCTTTGGTTGTTTCCTGACAGTATTCACTTTGGAAATGCTACTAGCCATATGCTCCTGCTTCAGTAAATATCAGTAAAGATGCCAAGGATTTTAAACCACCCTCCCGATTTACCTAGAGCCGCTCTACTTTTTTTTATGGACTGAAATTATCCTAAAACTTTATTTATAAGCCGTCCAGCTGCACACAGAATTGTTTTTGAAAACTATCCCTTTATAGGTGGTAGGCTTCAAACTCTAATATGTACAGGAATCATCTGGGAGGCTGGTTAACATACAAATTGCTGGACTTCCCCCATGTCACCCTGAGTTTTCCATTTGGCAGGTCTAGCCTAGGGCCTGATAACTTGCATTTCTAACAAGTTCCCAGATGCTGCTGGTCAAGAGATTATATACTCAGAGAACTACTGCTTTAGGCAAATGTGTTAACAGCTTCCAATGATTCTGTAGGAAAAGCACCGGCAAGGGGTGAGTGTTGGGGTTGCAGAAGGAGTAGGACAACACCTCTGGAAGGTAAGTTGACTGGTTCAAAAAAATCAGTCTCCCTGTTGATTGTGTTTATTTTGAATCCCTTCATCTTCGTATCTAAAGTAAGAAGCCATGAGAGCATGGCGGCAAACTCCAGGTCGCCACCTTCCCCTCCCCAAGGCATGCTACCATTGCCTTTCTCTTTGCAAAGCTCCAAGGACCCTTCTTTTGCTTCTGTAACTGGTTTCCTGAGCCCACATAGCCCAGATGGCAACTTCTACTACACCTCTATGACTTTGGAAATCAACTTTCTTTAGTAAAAATAAGTAAAGTACAAAGCCACCCATTATAGTTTCTGATCTCCAGGCTTTGGGCCCTAGACAAATGCCAAAGGAGGGTTTCCCTACACCCAGTCCTAAGCTCAAGTGGGAGCTTTGAAAAGAGCTGTTGATCCAGGCTTTCCTGAAGCTTTGGTTTGCCACTACGTTTAATGTCATGGAATCAGCAAGGACTTCCAATAGGTCTCCTAGTTCATGCTAATACTGGGAATGATGAGTCATCGAGAGCTTAGGCAGTATGATGCCTAGAATCATCAGATTCTAAGGAGTTGGAGAAAAAGAAGCTAACCAACTAATCTTATTAAAAGTACAAATCAATACAATTTGACAGTGGTTACAATATAAAGACAATTTTATTGCCAATAAAAGCCTTTAATAACTCATTTATCCCATTTCAGTAGGACCTTATTCTTTCTGATGAAAATCCAGTCATAGCATCTCTCATTAAAAATAAAATTATTCTGAAATAAATAAATATATAAAATAAATAGCATATACATTTCATAAATAGTTTGTCCTTATGCACAGTATCCATGCTGACATTTTAATAGCATTTTCTTGCAACCTACCCCATCTCCCACTTCCAATGGCAGGAAAACTGCATGTCAGGACAGATGAGAAACCTGCAGAGCCCATGCAGGCAGGGCTTGCAGCAGGGCTGTAGCCCTGAGGATTTTCTGAATGAGAGTTTTCCAAAGCTCTGTAGGTAGCGTCTGTGGCAGATAGTTTAGTCTTTCATTTACCTCTTGTCAAGGTATCGGGGTAGATTGTGGGGCAGGATACCCCTGGCCCCTGGCAGGGGCTCCCATTCTTTCTCTTGCCACCTCAGGGGAAAGAACATGAGTAAAGAAAAAGAGTATATACAAGATTCCCTCTAGCCTGCCCCTCCCCCCATATCCCTCCCCAAAATAACCCAACCTTGATATACACTTTGAACAACAAGGGAACAGCTGGGTCGAGTTGAACAGCAAGTACTTCTCTGCTATCTAAATTGATAGGAAACAGGACTGAAAAGCTATGAATATAGTGCTTGCAGACACAACTGTGGCCCCAGAGTACACGGATTACAGAGGTCACACTAGGGTCCGTTACCTATAGCGGAAGAGGTCTCTGGACATGGAGGGTAACTTAGAAGGATCTACTGGCCTGGGTAAAAAGTGAGTGAATTTCTGGTGTCGTTTAGTCCTGTATCCCTCCCGGGGTGAGCCGTCTTTATTCAGGGCCACGTAATACTGTCTCTCCGAGTCCGAGTGTTTATACAAGGTGGAAGCATAGGTGTTATACCAGTTTTCTTCAAACTGTTCCCGGAAGACACATTCACGCGTGAGTTTCTTCTGCAAGGGTGAGAAAACAAAGCAGAGGCCATTATATGACTATTTCTCCCATCCCAGCTCACTGGTAGAGAACCCTGAAATAGCAATAGCACATTGATATCAGAAAATTTCAGTCCCCTCTCCTGGTATTACTAAAGTATCTTCTTTCCAAATAGCACCAAACAGTCCTAGCTGTATCACCTTCAGCCTCTTTCATGAGCCACACAAAAATGTTTTCTGTGAGATCTTTCCTGAAGGCTGGACACTGGAGGAGATAGCCTCACCTGGCTATCTCCTGGGCCAGGGGTGTTTAGCCTGAGAGTTTTCTTTTTTAAACATTTTTTATTGAATCTATTGGGGTGACAGTGGTGAGTAAAATTATACGGGTTTTCAGGGGTACAATTCTACAACAGAGCCTGAGATTTTTCAGAGCCTGAGAATTTCTACTATGGCTGCCCAGAGCCCCACTGGCACCCCTGAGTTTTCTCCCTGCTTAGGGCTAAGGATGTTCAAATCCATAGAGATTCCAGTCAACCATGTCAACTGATAGGCAAAGGCCTTGGATCTATATAAAGTCCCATGAGAGGTGAGCTGTGATCGCTCCTAATGAAGGGTCTCAGGCCTGTCAGTTGGCAAGCTTAGAAAAGATCTCCTTGCACAGTTCCTCCAATCTGGCTACTTCAAGCTAGCAGCTCCTGAGTCTCTTGCCTCTGTCCCTTCTCACACTTGATCCAGCCGCCATAGTACTTGCTGGGGTTGCCGATACTGAGTGCTGGGGACAGGCCTATCGCTTAGGTGTCAGGGAAAAATGTGCTCTGATTTCAAGGGGTGCAGGCAGCCAGAAAGCATGCTCTGTGACTCAAAAGCCAACACCATGAGTTGGGATCCCCTGAAGGGGTTAAGGTCGGCAAAGTCACTGCCCAGTCCCCAGCTCTTGGCTAGCTTCCAGAATAGAGAACATGCACTGCAGCCAACCCAGGCCCAGACCCTGGAGACTGAGGGCTGTCACCCTGGAACCCTCACATTTATTTGTTTCACTTGGCCTTTGGGACTCAGCAGAAGGAATCTGGAAATCAGGGACTGCATCGTTTATCTCAGAAGCCTCAATCGGAAGGCCAGCTCTTCCATCACCTGTTTTTGTGCTGGCCAGTCTGCCACTCCTTTGGGCATTAAAATTCAGATGTGCTCCTCAGGAGGGTCAATGCCCCAAACCCTTACCATCTACTAACAAACCAGCACAGCTTACTATTATCATCGCACCAGCTGGGCCTCAAATGGAAAAGGAGAAAACGGTATGCCATAGTAAAGCTTATGCTTTTTTAAGATTTTGTTTGTTTATTTTTTAGAGAGAGGGGAAGGGAGAAAGAAAGAGAGGGAGAGAAACGCCAATGTGTGGTTGCCTCTTGTGCGACCCCCACTGGGGACCTGGCCTGCAACCCAGGCATGTGTCCTGACTGGGAATTGAACCAGCGACCCCTTGGTTCACAGGCTCACGCCCAATCCACTGAGCTACACCAGCCAGGCTAAAGCTTATGTTTTGATGGAGGCTGAATGACTGAAAGTGTTATGCAGCAACTTCCCGGGAAGCCACACGTGATAGAAGACGCTCATTTTTTACCATCAACAAAAGTACCTTCAAACGCCAGATAAAAGGCTTATATTTTTGCCTTATATTGTCCAAATACTGGTACTAATAGCCTCTGATGAAAAGAAAACCTTCAACTTACCGACCCATAGAGCTCTCCTCGTTCGTTCATTCCTAAGTATAGGCCAGAGTCCACTCCACGGATGCTGATCAGCCCCACGGCCAGGCTGATAAACTCCAGGATGCCTAGAGCCAAAAAAGTGAGTGTCATTTCCATCACTAACATCAAGCTAAGAAGAAGCTGTGCATGTAATATGAGCTACCAGTCATTCACCCACAACTGGAGGCCAGCCCTGGGTGTCTTTTGAGAATGACCTGAGTAAGCCATCTTTTGCAGCAGGAATGGAACCACAGAGAAAACACTGAGTCTCTCTGGACCTCAGTGTTCCATACGCAAAATAAGGGAAACCCATCTGCCTCTGCTTGACACCCTTAGGCACAGTATGAGGAAGAGACTAAACCAGAAGAAGGCTTTGGCTACAAAAGATCCTAATGACAAGCCACTATGACTGTTAAATACCACCATTTCAAGAAATGGGAGGGCAGCTCTGTAAATGGGAGAATGGAGCCAGGTTTTTCTCTCTCTTCCCGAAGTCCCTTCCCTCCTCCCCCGAGCACACAGCATTACCTCGCTGTCCTCTAGGCTGAACTTGTTTTGCACCCTCTTAGCTCCCATGTCCTCAAAGCCACATGAGGCTGTCAACTGCCTGTAGCTGCCTCTAACAAAGGCCACACAGGCCACTCACGAAGTTTGTTTCTCCTGCCATAGGCGGGACACAAAACTTGGCCTGGTAAGAGGTTTCTCAGAAAAGTGCTCTCAGCCGCTGCAGCCCCAGGCTGACAAGCCTGTCATTGTCCCCTTCTCTCTTGAGCGTTTCAAGTTTATCCATGGCAAAGAGTTGGCAGGTAGTATCAGACTTGGTACTGATTTTAGATGTTGCAGTTTTCAGGGTAAAGGGAAGACATTCAGCATGTCCCTCTGGCTGACAAGGTTAGAGGTGAGGATTTCAGACCATTTTTATTTACTGAGAAGCAGTAAGAGGGAAAAAAGAAATCAACCACTAAGAGGGAATAAAGGACCAAAACCTGAAATGCTGGTGACACTGAAGACTTTATTCTTCTTCCTAAGATACCATGTCTGTGATATGGACACAGATCTATTATATGGATGCACATTTAATGGGCAACTAGTTTCCTCTGGTGCTTTTCAATGTACAGACCTAAACTTGATTATGATTGACTCCCAGGGGCGCCCAAAGATATGAAGTAAGCTGTTATCTGGCTGTCTTTCTTATCCAAAAATGCAATTCTTAAGGGTAGTAATATCCTATGTAATCTACATAGAAACTTAGACTGATTTCTTCAGGGGCACTTTAACATGTAAGTGGCTAACTTTGAAATCGGGTTCAAAACTCCAGTGGGAAGTCCAAAGAGCCTGAGTGGTACAGGCGGGTGGGCGGGTGTTCTGGTGTGGCAGCTCTAGGGCACATGTTTCCATGGCCCATTTGAAGAACGTCAAATTCTTTGGCTGCCACTGTGCAGAACACTCACAATGTAGCCTTTGGCCTCCAGCACTGAAGTCCTCCAAACTTTATTTTCAGTCTGGTTGTCGTAGTACAAAGGAGTTCTGAGAAAAGAGGTTGACAGAATATGGTAGGAGGGGAAGGGAAAATACTCGGTGCCAAGTGACGGTTAAGCAGATACCGATTTAAAGGGCCAAACCCTTTAGATGTACTGTGACATTCTGATTTGGGTGGCACCCTGTTTACCATTTTAATAAATGACTTGTATGAGGACATAGAGGGAATGCTTACCCACGTTCCAGAAGACATACGGCTGAGAGGGTGACAAACAAAATCCAAAGAGGTTTCAAGAGAATGGAAAAATGGGCTGACTCTAACAAAATAAGCTTTAATTAGAATAAAATGTAAAGTCCTGCACTTTGGTCCCCAGACCAATTACCCGAGATGTTTTGTGTCTGGGTTTTGCAGGGGGAGGGTAAGCCTCAAGTGCAGACAGTTGAGTAAATCACACTGCTCTCTTTTGTGCCTATTATCATCGGTCTGTGCAGGGGCTTTTTATTTCTCCATTTCTTTCTTTTTATGTCCATACTCTGCTCCCACCCCGCTCCCCATTTCAGGCAGCCCTGTGTATTTCCTTAAAAACATGTACTGTTCTTTTCTGTTTTCATGCATTTTTTCAAATGCCGGTCTGCCCATCTTTGCAAAGGGGAGATGTGGCTTTAGCAAAACACGCGCAACAGTGGCTTAGGGGACTGGACTGAACGCGGTAAGCTTGGCACAGGTGATTCAGGAGGTTATTAAGGAGCTGATGTAAAACTAGTCACGTAAAAATAAAACATGATTAAAAAGCTAGTGTAACACGTAGGAAAAAAGGAAAAAAGCTAATGTGATTTTGGGCTGTACCGATCCTGGTCTCGTAGCTGGCATAAGGGAGGGGACTGCTGCGCTCTGCTCTGCCTTAGTTGGGCCACACTGATAGGACTGTTTTTAGTTCTACTACGTTTGAAGAGGGCTACAGCAAAAGGAATAGAGTGAAAGAAGAACAGCCAGTGTGGCAAGGAAATGAGGCAGCTTCTCAGGATTCAGTTCTGGGCGCTAAGCTTTGCGGGATACCAACCCACTGGGGCCTTCAGTCTTTGCTCCGCTCAGGCAGATTACTTCTGAGCTTCAAGTCGTAGCTCCCTCATTCCCTGAGAATCTCATGTCTCTAAGCACCCTGAGCTCATTAAGTAGCCGAGGTCAGCTTGTGATCTCACCGTCCAAGACCTGGTGTGAGAACAAATCATGAAACCCAAGAGGTGTGGCCATTTGAGTCACCACAGTTTTTCTCCAATTCTCTGTTAACATGATGCCAAAGGACAGATCATACCGGAAGTCACTTGGGTTGTGTTCAGTAACAGGGGTCTCCAACAGCTGGGATCATCCCTGGCCAGCTGTCTTTGGGCATCATTTTCCTCTGCCAACTTTCCTATTAGCTGGATTCAAACTGTGGGAACCCAGTGGCACATGATGATGGAACAGATATTCCTAAACCTTCTCCTGAATTCCAGCCAGCGTGAAGGGAGAGAGAAAACAAGCCATTTTCTCATTTTCCCAGCTACAGCTGGAGAGGGGTGTTAACAGCAAAGTGTGGAGGCAAAGTATTAAGTAGACAGAGTTTGTCCTCAGTTCTCTCACCGCCTCCCCCCGCACCCCAGAGCCCAGGACCTCCCTCTGCTCTGTCACATATCTTGACCTGCCCACCTCAGCTCTGGACTTTGCTTGACAATTCCCGGGTCCCACTGCCTGAGAACCTAGCCAGAAGACTGGCTAACATGTCATTTAATCTGGCTCCGTAACTTGCCTGAGCTCCCTCAGCCATCCTTTCAGACCTTCATGGCCAAGACAGTGCTGCCCTGGCGTCCTGCCAAATAAGAACCAGATCGCTCAAAACCCAAAGCAGCTGCAGGAGCTTGCTCCATCCCACCTGGCGGGAGGCCTCTCCTCCGGTCTGGCTCCCAAGCCCTACTATGCCAGTCCACAGGTGCCCCTCAAGAATGTCAGGATCCCTGTGAACCTCCCGTAAATGCCACCAGCCAGGCGGAGATTGGAGCACTCCTGGCTACTGATTGCAGAATGGGGGTGTTGGGGGGTGGGGAGGGGGAGGATAGGCTCTGCCAACAGGTTATTATTTGGAGTCGGGGCTGCTCTTGGGCTCAGCCCGACTCGTTCTGAACACATGGATTCCAGGGTAATCCTTGGGGGCCCTGCTCTCCAATTACAACAAATAGCTATTTACTTTACATGGCCTTTGGAGACTACCTCCTCCCCCCAAGCAGAAATCTATAATATTTTATATCTTAAGTCTGGCCTACTTTACCCTGCTGGAATGTTGACTGCTAAAGCACTTATGGAATGTTAAAGTTTCGATTTATTGAATACCCTGGCTGATTAACTCAAATGTGGAGGGAGGAGTTAGCAAACGCAAACGCCACCTCTTTCTTTGCCAAAAGCTAGGCTGAGAAAGAGTAAAAGTGTGTTCGAAAGTTGGTAGTTGGTAGGGGATGTTACAAAGAGACAACTTTGACCAGTTATCATCTCCTTTAGAGGAAATGCACGGAAGTGCCAGGAAGCCCAGGAAAGAGGAAAGGGAAAAGGTGATGCAGAGGTGGGTCTCAGGCAGGGTGTTTTTTTTTTTTTTTTTTTTTTTAAGGCAAAACCCAAAACGAAGCAGTCAGTTAAGCAGCAGTGAAAACATCCCTTCTTCCTGCCAGTTTTATTTCCTTTGGTTTCTCCTTAAACTTAACACCCTTAGCAGGCCCGAGAGATGAAAAGAAATCGAGATGTGTCCTTAGGGAGGTAATTAAAGACCACTTATCCCAAGAGCCTATTACTGATTTATGCTGACCTTGTAGGTTATTGGGCTCAGCTTAGGCACAGAGTCAGACAAACCACTTGTAGCTGCTGGGAGCCAACTGTCCTTGTTTCTCCACCTCTGCTTCCCCCCGCCCATCATTTCATGATTTTGCTTTTGTATATCAGGAATGAGCCCCTCCAATATTTTTTGGCCATTTTTGGGAGCCTACGGGGGGGGGGAGGGGGCTTTGAGGCCGGGGTGGGAGTCCCATTACCTTGGAAGAGGAACAAAAGGGAACTGCAAAGTCCTAAGCAATGGAAGGAAAGGGAGCCAAGTTAACACTGCCTTTCCCTCCACGCCACCTTATCGCCCTTTTGAGGACGTGCTGCAAGTTTATCCAGACACCTGCACCCCTGTGTTACCCCCACCCCACACACCGCCTACTGCACTGCGGCTCTGTGAGTGCATTTTTCCAGGATGACATAGAGCTCATTAGGGTTCCTGCTTGCTCCCAGCAAGGAAGACCAGCCCTGGCCCTAAGTTGTTTGCTACACTTGGCCTCTGCGCAGCCCCCACTCTTTACTGTGTGCTCCAGATGCAGCCCTCACAAGGCACCGGGAATAGGAGGAGGATGGGGAGGTTTTTGGGGAGTGAAGGAGGGTGGGCAAAGGAAGGGAACTGCTCATGTCTGAAGGTAGGCAAAACGTCTCTTATGGGCTTAGGGATAGAAGGTACCCTTGGGCCGCAGGGTCCTTGGGAGGGAGTAGGGACACTGGGGGCTAGAGGGCTGGACGAAGGGTAGCTGTCACAGCACCTGAACAATGGCTTGGTAGAGAATAGCAAACCGAACATGAAACATGACCAAATTATGGAGGAGCAAACACATTGGCTTGGAAAGCTAATGATCTCTTTCTCAGGTTGAGGTTTATATTAACTGTGTTGCATATGTGAGACCAGCAGTTCTGCCCTTTGAACAGTCTGCAGGAGGTGGACACAGACAAAAATCCTGGAGGTTGGACATTTCCTGTCCTGAGCCCAGGAGACACCTGTTTCTGTGGCTGAGAGTGGGCCCACGACCGCTTCTTCCCCGAGGCAAGGAGTCCACAGGTAGCTCCGGGCAAAAATCTACTCCGGGGCTTGTGCCCTTTCACGGTGGACACCGGAAGGCTTTCCTAATTTCTCCAGTACCCAGCTCACGCCTTGCTGCTGTCCGGATTGGCCCCACCCTGGGCAGAGCAACCCAGAGGCGGCAGGTGCGGGCCAAAAGCGACTTGGATGTGGGCCGCCCGCCCCCCACATCCATAGCCCAGCAAGGCTGCTGGTCCAGGCCAGCGGCGGCAGCGACAACCCTGCCCTCGAGGCTCAGCCCCGCACTGCAGCTGCCGGCGGTCCCTGACTTCTTCGGCGGGTGGTCCTTCCCCTCTCCCAGCTTCACCTGCTTCCATCTGAAGCAAAGCGTCCAGGTCCCAGAACGATCCCCTCACACCCAGGGGAAGGAGGGAAGGGAGAGGCCGCACCTCAAGGCACCCGCGTCCCCGTCCCCTCCCGATCGTGTCAGGGTGCCAGGCGCCCTGACGCCTCGCGGCTCAAGTGCACACGGTCACGTCCCGCCAGCCCCGAGTCCCTGGCGGCATTCCGCCCCGACGGCACTGAGCTGGGGGCGGTCCGTGGCGCCCGGAGCCTGGGGCTCAGCGCGGTCAGCGACCCAGCGCGCCGTCTGTGTGTCCGCTCGCCTCCCGCCCCTCCCGGCCGAGTCCTCACCGAAGCGGCTGTGGTCGTGACGGGTGCCGTGCACCGTGCCGTTGGGGAAGATCTCCAGGTGGAAGCCGGTGCGGCAGTACAGCTGGCGGCGCCGCAGGATCCCCTTCAGGTGGGCGAAGTCCGTGGGCGAGCCTCGCTGCAGCTTTCCCTCGATCTGGCCCAGGCGCTCGTTCAGGAAACCCGGGGAGTCAGCTAAGGGCACGTTCCCCAGAGACGAGGAAAAACCGTGCAGATCCCAGTCCAAGGAGGCGAAGACCCCCCCCACCTCCGCCATGGCGGGGCGCGCGGGGCTGAGCCGGGTAGGAGGTGCGCGGACTGCCTCTCCCCGCAGCGGGCGTGGGCGATTCGCCGGCGCTCGCTCGCTCGCTCGCTCGCTCGCTCGCTGCTCCGCGCCCTGCAGAGCCGCAGTCGACGTCTGTTCGCGTCCAAGGAACTTCTCAGCGGCGGGGAGCGTGGGGCAGCGCGCTTCTGACCTTGCTCTCAGTCAAAGTGCCGCTCTCCCTCCGCATCCATCTCCCCAGGCCTCTCATAGCTGGCTTCGTCGAGGTATCGGATGCAAACGGCACTTTATATACGTACCCACTCCCCTTACATTGACATATTGGATATTTAAATACAAGCCACACCTCACTGGCATCCCCTCGGAGATTGGTGTGTGGGTTCTTTTTTTTTTCCCTCCCTTCTCGTATCCATTTGGCTCTTTTTGGGAGAGGGGGGTGGAGGGGGGAAGAGAACGAGCGAGCTTCACTCCCTCTTTTATTATGAAAAAATGGCAGGAAAAAGCTACACATTGCAGTGAGGCATAACTGCTTTTGGCAGGTTTTTCTGAAACTGCTGATGAAATAACGGAGCCCAGTGCGTTGAGGCTGCTGGCGCCCACGGCCACTCAGGCCTATTGCGTGGAGTTGTGTCTGCTGCACGGGGGCAGTCCCCACCTCCCACGCGTCCTCGGGCTGCCAGCCTTGGGAAAAGTGTCCTGTCCTGAGGCCCGGACGTTCCCCTTTTCCTGAGCCCCTCTTGTTCCCCGGCTGGGGGAGGCTGCAGAAGGGGTGCCTGGCCTGGGACAGGGGCTCCTTGGGTTCTTTGTTCTGTCCCCCACCCCCCAGTCCCACTCCCCACCTGTAGGTCGGCAGGGGGCTGAGGAAGTGAAGAATCCGGAAGCCGAATGCTGTTGCGAAATTGGGGATTGGGGGTGGCGGCGGTCCCTGCAGGCATCAAGGCGGGGCCTTAAGGGGTCTGGGAGGAGCGGGAAACCCCACGGAGGAAAGAAGACATTTTTCTTTTAAGGGACGTTACAGCTTAGGAGAAGGAGGGGGGTAGTAAGAAATAGAAAGCGATCTTTTTGAAAAATGATCTCCGCTGGCTTTCTGGGCGCGCTTTTACAAGGCTCTAGAGAGCAGGCTCGATGAGGGGCCATTGGAAGCCTGGTAGGGGCTTCCCCCCACCCCTTTTCTTGTTGGAAACAGGTGTTTCCTCACTCTGTCCCGTGCCCTGCTTGGAGATATTCTATCAGGAATAGCGGCAGTTGGGACGGGAAGTGGCGACACTCAGTGCAACGGGCAGCATTCAGAAGAACTGAGAGCAGGTGCCCGGCCTGTCCCATGCCCCCTGCGCCCCTGCCCGGCACCTGAACCCTGGGGCCCCTCTCAGGCCCTGGAGCTCAGCGTCCCGCTCGCCTACTAAACTGTGTTGTCGCTTGTAGTTTGCACCCACAGCAGGCTCTGGTCGACTTTTCCCGCTCCAGCAGGAGGAGCAGCAGAGCCAGCATCCCACCCCGCCTTTGCAGCGCCTCCTGCTGGAGAATCCGTGACTTGCGGCGACTTCGAACTGAGGGTCTCCATTAGAGGAGAAAACAGATTCAGCTCAATTCATTTAATGCAGTTTGAAGTCCTGGTGCCGGGCTCCCGCGTGCACCCGGTGCTCACTCTCTGGTAGCGTGGCAGTTTTTGGTTCGGAACATCATGCCTTGGTTCTAGTGTGTTTCCCTAGCTCAGCCAGAGCCTGCAGAGCTAAGCATAAGGTCCGGCATACTAGGTGCTCAGAAATCATCTTTTGATATGCTCCCAGAGGTAGGGAGCACAGATCTAAATGCTCTTCGAACTGTAGAGACACAGAAATGCAAAAGAAGGCATCCATACTGGAGTACTTATGGACAAAATAGCAGTCTCTCTGAGATTTTCTTTAAAATAACCCAGAGTGAGAAGGCAAGAGGTAACAATATTGTTCATGTGTTACTAGTCGTTGAAGCCAGGTGATGGGCACATGGGTGTTCATTTTATATTTCTTCTATTCTCTCTATGAACATGCACACATGAAATTTTCCCTAATAAAAACGTTAGGGATGGGACTGACATAAAAAACTGAGAAACCATTCCTTCTTTCTCTATTATTCCCCTGAGAGATTTTGTGGATTCAGTGAGAAGGCAGGGAAGGAGGGACAGAGGTTAAGATCAGTATATAAATGACTGGAATACAGGACTGTAGAAGGTGTACAGGGCTGTGTGGATTCATAAAGCAGAGAGAAGACTGACTGAGGGTTCAGGGCTGTGTTCTGGACCAAGGTGGCAGTTGTAGAGGAGGGCCCTTGAAGGGAAGATGAGAAGGATTTTGCAAATCCAGGTGGGCCACTTCCAGGAAGGGGAAAATAGTAACAAAGCGAGTGGAACAATTTTAACTTGGTAAAGACTACTCGTTGGGAGGTTTTCGTGAATGGCAAGTACCGGTCCTTTTTTCGGACCATGAGACACACCTAGGTTTTAGAGGAGGAAAATGGGGGAAAATTTGAAGCAAAAATGTAGTAAAATATTTATTAACATAAATAACGTAATGATTCACCAATGTAAATGTAAACAGAACTCAACAGCAGTATTAACAACCATTATTCCTTCCAATTTTTTGGGGGGTGCATCTTATAGTCTGAAAAATACAGTAAGTACAGTTCATAAAACTACTTTGAGAACTATGTGATGTAAAGAATTTAGATGTCTCTATGATGATACAAATAATGCATTGATAATTTTCTCAACAGTCACTTTAGGGACCTTCTGCATTCTCTGTCCCCAAACATTCCCAAAATCACCAACTACAGTTGCAGACCAAGAGGCCTATGCAATAAAATGTCAGAGGCACACAACTTCCTTTACCCTTCTAGGGGCTCTTTTCAGATTAAGCTGGTGGTTCTGTCTTAAATAACATTTCCGTGAAGTATCCCAATGATTGAGCACTTCCATGGAAGTTATGTAATTTTCACAACCCTGTGCAGCAGGAGGTGCCATTACCACTATTGTAGAGGTGACATTAAGTGACTAGCACAGAATCATATCGTCAATAAGGAGCAGAGAAATAATTCAATGTAAGATCTATGGGGGCAAACTACTCTCAATTTACAGGCCTTGGCATTATGCAAAGACCCATGTTTAGGACCGTGAGAGTTCAGAATACTTTGATTTACAGAAAATCCTCAACAGGACACAATCTCAGGCCAGGGTTGTGCTGGATATAGGGGATGAGACAAAGGTGTAGGAAAAAGAAGTAACCCTTACAGGATTCAGGATGTCACTTGTACAGCTAAGGGGTAACTGAACCCCTCTGCAGTGATATTTTGAGGACAAAATGAAATCACCGCTCGAAAGTGATTCCACAACGCGACGGAGATTCTGTCCTCCTTTCCTAGTACCTCACAGTCCTGATGTGAAAAAGAAACCAACTTCTGTGAACAGATGTGGAAAAACAGCATGCTTTTAGGAAAAGGACAAGTGTCCCTGGCTGGTGTGGCTCAGTGGATTGAGTGCTGGCCTGCAAACCAAAGGGTTCCTGGTTTGATCTGCAGTCAGGGCACATGCCTGGGTTGTAGGCCAGGTCCCCAGTGGGGGACACATGAGAGGCAACCAAACATTGAGGTTTCTCTCCCTCTCTTTCTCCCTCCCTTCCCCTTTCTCTAAAAATAAATAAATAAATAAATAAATAAATAAATAAATAAATAAATAAAATCTTTAAAAAAGAGAAAAGAATTTGTATTGCTTTTTTGTCCTTTGTTCCTGCCTTTCCTCATCTCCTGCTTTCTGCTCAGATAGCGATATAGTCTAGTGGTTGTCTGTGGTTCAGACTCCCTTGGTTCAAGTCCCAGCTGGAAGCCATTCTAGCCTCAGTTTCCTCTTCTGTATGATGCAGATGATCATGATGATGATGATACTCATTACTGCCTAAGCTTGCTATAGGTTTACATGAAAAAAAAAAAGAGAACAAGGGGACAGTGACCAGAGGGGAGAGGGAAGGGAAGTTAAGGGGAAAAAGGGGGAGGGATTTGGAGGAACAAATAGGAAGGACACAGGGACGAGAACTAAGGGGGTTGGAAATGGGAGGGAGGTGGGGAGCAAGGGGCGGGGGAGGCTGGGATGGGAGAAATAGACAAAAAACTGTACTTGAAAAATAACTAAATAAAATTAATTAAAAAAAAGAGCATTAGGGTTTTGTCTATGAATTTAATGTGAGTATGGGATTAACTCAGTTTTTTGTAATGATATGCATAATATGGCAATTTCAAATATAACTGTGACCATTCCAACATTAAAAAAAAAAAGAATGTACTGAACCTGTGCCTGGAACATATTAAGTGGTCTTTGTTCTTAATATTATTTACATCCTATCTGGCCCGTTATTATTTTCTCCCCAGGTTTCCTCAAATTATGGTCATTTCTTTTCCTAAGGGAGAAGTGAAGTAGATGGGAACACCATGCAAGGCACCCCAAAGCAATCACTTCCAAGACTATCACTCTTTCTGTGTGGCATTTGGTCAGCCTTGTTCTCTCTGGGCTTCAGAAAGCCCATCTGAGAAATGAGCTGACTTAACCTGTTGCCTCTGTGTGGGCAAGCAGGTAGCGAGGGAGTGAAGGTGAGAGAAAAACAGGAAATCGCTCATTTGTATAATTCCATTTACTGAGCGCCCTAAGTGCCACACACTATAGTCGCCCTCTCCCATTTACAGGGGATTTATTCCAAGAACCCCAGTAGATGCCTGAAAGGATTAATAGCACTGAATCCCACATACACTACGTTTTTTCCTATACACACATGCCTTTGATAAATTTTAACTTGTAAATTAGGAACAGTGAGAGATGACTAACAAGCACTAATAAGCAAACAGGACAATAATAATAATGGAAGTAAAATAAGGGTTACTTGAACACAGGCACTGCAGTATTGCAACAGTCTATCTGATAACCCAGCCGACTTCTAAGTGACTAATGGGCGGGCGGGGAATGGATACGCTGGATGGACAAAGGGATGATTCACATCCCAGGCAGGGCAGAGCGGGACAGTGTGAGATTT